GGACAGGTCAAGGGGGCGGGATGAGGTTGGTCGGTAGGAGATGGAGGTGCAGCTTGAGGTGGGAGGAGGGGATAGGTGGGAGAATCTTACTTTTTTTGACTAGGTACAAGTTAAAGGCAAAGTTACCCACTCAGAGATCAAAGGAACAAAACCACAGTTTCTAGCCTCAATTAGTCAAACCGTGTTGATGTAAAATTCCCTGAGATTGAGGAGAAGACCCCATGTGAGGCAAAATCAAAATATCACCCATTAACTTTGTAGAAATCAAATTTGTAAAAATGCCTGAATTAGGTACAAACATTATAGCACTGGGCAATGAACAGTTAATACTCAGACTGATAGCATAGCTTAATTAAAATTAATTTGAATAACAACAATTTGCCACTCCCAAAGTTATAACCCCCGCTGCAGTAAGATCCTGAGGTACCTTAATGATAACAAACCGGAATTCCATAATAAGGCAATAGGTCCAAAGATTTAACAAACTCTTACCTCCCTATTGACCCTAAAAGAGATGACAGAGTGAATGCAAATATGTGTGTTACTGTTCCATTATTATTATTCATACAATGAAATCCCACTTCCTTGTAAAGCCTCACTTATAGACCTGTAGTTTTTGTTACAAAGACACCTACAAAACATGCAGTGGTAGCCAGGAATTTGCAGAAACATCCAGAAAAGGGACTGCCTCTCTATTTGTTGGCATGGTGGCTCAGTGGTTAATACTGCTGCCTCACAGAAACAGGGACCTGGGTTCAATTCCAGCCTTGGATGACATCTGTGTGGAGTTTACACATTCTCCCCGTGTTAGCGCGGATTTCCTTCGGGTGCTCCGGTTTCCTCCTACAAATCAAAGATCTGCAGGTTAGGTGGAATGGCCATGCTAAATTGCCCATAGTGTCCAGGGATGTGCAGGCTAGGTGGATAATCCAGGGGAAATGTAGGGATAGGTTAGGGAGATGGGCCTGGGTGGGGTGCTGTTCAGAGGGTCAGTTTAGACTCAATGGGTTGAATGGCCTGCATGCAAACCGTAGGGATTCTATGATTCTAAGCGGTGCCCAGATCTGCAGAATGTAATGTTAGAGGAAGAAGACTGCATCCAAGAAAGCAACTAAACAACATCAGCCTCAGGTACAAACCTCATGCCTCAAAGACAATCAAAGGATTTTATACTGTATATTCTTTTGTATTGGACACTATTCCAGTTTAACTTTGTACATATGTGTACATGTAGAGCCGAATGATTGCACAAAGGCACTATGCTTGACTTTATATTGTTATTACTTTTCTGTGGTTTATCAGAAGCTTCTGGTTCTGGTAGTCGCTGCCGTGCACAAACTTTGGAGATCTGCAAAGAAGAAAAAAAAGAGGGAGGGAGCATTGCCCCCAGTTGAACACCCTTCCTCTTGACTCCAAAAAGGACTGCTTCTACTTTGACTTTCAGATGGCTGTTTGCTTGAAGCATATGAAATATGTTTGCCATATAAGCCGGTGGTACATGCTGCAGGTGTGACTTGACCTAGCATGGTGCTGCACTGTTCACTGAACTTGACTGTTCAGTGCATCCCACCCTTACAAGCTGCCTGCCTGTCCCTATGTGCTAAAATATAATGCAAGACAATGCAATCTCAAAATATTTCACACAATGAGTGATCACGAAAAAAGCAAGAGCCATTATCAGCATCTTATGTAGATACATGAGATGCGTGCGTGTCCCTGAGTGCAGTGAACTGGCAAAAGCACACAAGTACTAGATGTTCCCTGAGCTCCAAAGCAAAGTCCTGAAGGGATAAAGTAGTCTTAGAGTTGGTGTGAAGGTATGGTAAGGCTTGGGTTTGGCACTACTGCCTAGCATGGACAAAGGGTTGATAATGATGGTGTCCATGGAGCATACAGAGACATCGCAGCGAAGACAGCGTTGGATGATTAAGACAGAGTTGGATAATTAACAATGTATGCAATCAACAAGATAAAGCTATCTGCTCTGTCATAAATTACAGAATTAGAGCTACAAAGAAATGAGGTGAGATTAGTTGTTAACACGATGCAAATTAGCAGGTAAGGCAGTAGCTGTTCATTTTAAGATTCTGAACTCTTAAAGAGGAAATTTGGAAGAATTAACGTCAAAGAGCATAGATTTTTATTCTCATTTATGCCATATTTTCTTAAATTTCTCACCATTTCTACACTGCTCAAGGTACGGGAATATTCCATTACAACCTGTAATTTAGAGACACATATGCTAGCCATACAGACACAGCTAACACGGTCTAATTTATCACCTCTTCTTCAACTAATTTGTTTAGTTAAGAATCTAAATGTTCTGAAATTCTACTACTTTTACCAAATGGAAGAAAATTCCTAAAGAGGCACAAGAGAGTGAGTAGTTTTAATAATTAAAGGTAAGATTTCTGAAGTTCCTTGCCCTGTGCACAGAATTGAAAACTTACTTCAATATCAGACCAAAAGAAGCCGAAACACAGTCTAACAAAGATTAACTTATTTGAATTTTCAGTTGATAATCCCAAAATATAAAGAATGAAACCTGTCGCTGCTAATTGCTTTCTTCAAATTTTAAGACATTGAGTGGTAACCCGGTTATGTGCACCCCGGCAAGACAAGAATGAGACAGTAAGGACAGCAGATGCTATAAGCTAGAGCCAATTAATGTGGCGGTGGAAAAGCACAGCAGGTCACACAGCATCCGAAGAGCTGGAAAGTCAACGTTTCAGGCCTAAAGCCCTCGTTAGTCCTGACGAAGGGTTTCGGCCCAAAACATTGACTTTCCTGCTCCTCGGATGCTACTGACCTGCTGTGCTTTTCCAGCTCCACATTTATTGACTCAAGAATGAGACATGTTTTGTTTGGATGTATGACTGCCACTGGGAGCTTTCTGGTAGGTGAGACACTGGTCAATTAAACATCTTATCTCATTCAATCCAATATGCTGGAGGTAACTGATATCCTGAGAAAGGGATACTTGACTGACAAAAAGTGACATAGTGGCTCTGTGGTTAGCACTGCTGACTCAAATCTTCAGGGATCTGGGCCTGAAGGAAGTTCTGAGCCAATTGTTTACAGACAGCAGATAGTTGAATGCTGCTAACATTACAGGGGAGGTTAACAGCAGTGTTGACATTGGTAGTTGAACAGTTGGTTTGAAGAATCTTTGTTTTGCAGATTTGTTGAGATTCTGCTGTTTTGATCCCTTTTGACCTCTCACTGACACTCATTTTTGCTTCTGCCAGGCTACCTGGCTCCTAACCTCGTTATAACTTTGGACAAAGAACTGAATTCAATCGTGGGCATGAGTGACAGCCTTTGATGCCAAGGCAGCATTTGACTGAGTATAGCATCATTTTTCCCTGGCAAAACAGGACTCAATGGAAAACAAAGGGGAAGCTTGCACTGGTTGAAGTCCAATCTAGCAGTACAAAAGTAGTTCTGGCTCTTGGAAGTCAGTCATCTCAGCTCCAAATCATTACTACAGAAATCCTCAGTAGTGTTGTACTCTCAATTTTCTTCAACTGCCTTATTAATGATCTTCCTTCCATTTGCTATTCAATCATTCGCTAATGATTGCACACTATTCGACACAATTTCTATTTCTTTAGATACTGAAGCAGTCCATATCAATATATAATAAGACCTAGGCAATATCCTGGCTTGAAATGATATATGGCAAATAACATTCCTGACACACAAGTGACAGGCAATGACCGTTTCCACTAAAAATGAATCCAACCATCATCCCTTGACATTCAATGGTATTACCAGTGTGGAATCCACTCACTGTCAACATCCCGAGGGTTATCGTTGACCAGAAACTGAACTGGACCAGTCGTATAATTGCTGAGGCTATAAAAACAGATCAAAAGGTAACACTTCTGCAGTGAGTAACTCACCTCATCTCCTCAATGTTTCTCCACCATCTACAAGACACAAGTCAGGAGTATGGCGGAATACGCTTGCCTGGATGAGTGCAGCTCCAACTGCACTCAAGAAGCTCAACACAATAAACGACAAAGCTGTCTGCCAAATTGTCATCCCCTTCACCACTTCCAATATTCATACCCGCCACCACTGATGCTCAGTAGCGGCAGTGTGTACCATCAACAAAAGGCACTGCACTCCTTAGACAGCAACTTCTAAACATATGATGTCTACCATCTAAAAGGACAAGGTCAGCAGATGCATGGGAACACCACCACCTGCAAGCTCTGCTGCAAGCCCCACACCACCCTGCCTTGGAAATATATCCCAATATATTACTATTCTTTTGCTGTCACTGGGTCAAAATCCTGGAACTCCTAACAGCACTGCCAGTGACCCTATATCCCAAGGACAGCATAGTTCAAGATGGCAGCTCACCACCACCAGCAGCCTCGCCAGCAATGTCTACATATGATGAACAAATTTTTAAAGAACTGGCCTGCACATGTGCAGAGAACATCCTCCATATTTACTTATGAAATAACAAAGTGCCATTGCTATATTGTTACTAATGTGTGGAGGTGATGGTGTTGGATTGTGGTTGATAAAGTCATAAGTCACATGACACCAGGTTATAGTCCAACAGGTTTATTTGAAATCACAAGCTTTCAGAGCGCTGCTCCTTAATCAGGCGAAGTTCTATATTGTTACCAATGATGCAGTTAGAACAGTAGGTGTTATCTGATATATACTGCCTCTTGGGCCGAATGTACAAGGGTGTCTTTCTGGAATCTGGCTTCAGGACACTGAAAACTGAGATAATTGTACTTACTGATACTTGTGGAAAAATAAATCAAAATACAGGTGTAAGTGATGTAATCCGTTACAGTGTGTCTATTACAACACACTGGTGAGAAGCATCACATGTTCACCTGTATTGTCTTTTCCTTCCCAGATGTTGACTAACCTGTTGTCTAGGTTCTATATTTAAGGTCCTGGCCTGTGTGTTTTTGCAGATTGGTAATATGCAGATGCACAAAAGTCGAATTGCCCAATAGATCAGCTGGTGTTAACAAAGCTACCACCCCCTCAGCTGAGCAACAACTCCGAGGTGGGGCAGTCGATGAACCTGTGCGCATCTTGCTGCAACAGGTAACCACGCAAAGCTGGAAACATTTAGCACTTCAAGGAGCGATAAACAGACAGACAGCAGGGATTCACGTTTTGACCTGGCACTTGTGACTCAACACGCAACCACCTCAAACAGGAAAGCAAAACTCTGAGACTGCTGGAAATCAGAAACAGAAAATGGTGGAAACACTCAGCGAGCGTGGCAGCAACCGAGTGAGTGAGTGAGTGAGTGAGAGAGAGAGAGAGAGAGAGAGATTGCTCTGCTGTATGGTCAGCGAGCTGAAGGGATAACTGACGTTGCCAGCAGGGACATTGTAGGTTCATGCTCAGGGAGCAAGGAGCTCGCCGGCAGGGGGAGGTGCTGCTGCTGACGCTGACGTGCGGAACACAGCCTGAAGTGCAAGGCAAGAGGTGGGAGCTTCTTTAGTCTGAGCCCGGTCACCGAGACTCTCCTGCTGCGGACCCAGCCCGGTCACCGGGACACTCCTGCTGCGGACCCAGCCTGTTTGCCGGGACTCTCCGGCTGCGGTCCGAGCCTGGTTTCCGGGACTTTCTGGAGCGGCAGGTACCCAGCAACTCCTCGCACCTTTTCGGGCTCCACTCTCCTGGTTTCTGGGGTTTGTACCTTTTTCTCTTTTCGGGCTGAGTGATCTGCCGGCTCCTCCCGTTCTCAGACGGTGGACCCTGATGAAAGCGGGGACTGTGGCTGGAATCGACATCTGTCTCTGGATGTCTATTAACATTCTTACTGGAGTTAAAAAGCAGTTTGGGAACGTTTTACTAATGGACACGACATCGGAAAAGTCTCCCAATGAATTCGACTGGACAAACCAGACAGAGTGTAAACCCCCATGTAAATATTGTCAGAGTGACTTCGTGTTATGTTTAAAACAATCATTTCGCTTCAAATGAGTGAGAATTAGCAGCCCTGTTTTATTTGGGAGACTTGGTTGAAATGTAGCGACCCTGTGTGAAATGGTGCTCTTTATAAATAACTTTGAACGTGAATGGGAATAAACTGAGAGCGCACAGCACTAAAAAAAGAGCGATTTGTCTTTGGGGAATTCTTAATCGAGGGTGTTGTTCGTCTGTCATCATATCCATTCCTGCCAGTTATGAATATATTTTTCTTTAGTCTTTTTGTAAAATAATCCCACGACAGCGCATTGTGCAATTGCAGTGATAATCGTTGTCACTTCCTGGTGTGAAGTAATTTTAAAGTTGTGCACGTTTTGTCTGACAAATGCATTCTTTTTGTTTTGCATCCCTATTAATCCCAGTATCAAGGTCTGAGTTTCTAATTACAGTCGTGATGAATTAAATGTGTCACTATTAGTGCAATATTACTAGTAAATATACGATTTTAAACTGTATGTAAACCTAGTGCTGGAAACTAAAATAGATTTTTCGTATTTTAAAGCAAGGTGGGTTTGAAGTGTTGAAGTAGCATATTTCAAATTATAAATCGAGAGCCTTACGAAAAGTCCAGCAAAGAAAAACTTTGCTAACTTGCCTAGCTACTAGTTACCTGTCTTTTGTTGCATTTGAGGTGCACAATTTGAGAGCTTTTTGATTCTTGTAGAGCGACAAGAAAAAGGTGAATAAAGCGAAATTGTCTTATGTATCTGACGTGTACATGCAGCTAAATCATCAGTAATGGCATAAATTGGAAATCAATCATTTTTTTTGGCAGAAATTGGGGGAATTAAGCTTTAAAAACTTGGGATTTCTGTGAATCTCAGCTAAACCTCCGAAGGGGTCTGTAACTTTTTGTTTTTATTTCTCATTACTGTATTCAGTCACTTCTATATTCCAAAAATAAGAATCGCAGTTAAGACAATTGATTAACAGTTTTCTATGTTTCCGTGACCAGATTTATCTGCTTGCAGAACCAACTTCAACCAATTGGCACAGCATATTTTGTAAATTTACTTTATAAATGATTCTTACTGTTTTATAACTGGGTGGAATACAACAATTGACAATGCGACGACTCATTCTTTACTGTGTAACTAAACACTTCTGCATTGACATTGGAGTAATGCATTAAATTTCAACTCCTTTGGTCAGTAGGGAAATTTCTTAAATATGCTTAGTTTCTAAATTGGAAATATTTTAGCTTTAAGCATAAACCTATTATTTGTAAATACTTCCAACAATGAAGATTTCACTGCTTTCATGTAAAACAATCCGACCTTGAGGAAGGATGATTACATCTGAAGCAGGAACAAAATATGTTTAAGGGAGAAATGAGCAGTTGGAATGAAAACAGAAAGTTGGGTTTACTGAAGAGAACTTTAAATAACATTTACTTTAAAGAAAAATCTGGCACAAAGGTGAACTTTTTAGACATGTCTAACTGAAGTTTCCAAACATTTGCCATTTCCCATTTACCCTATCTCGGTGGCTCAGTGGTTAGTACTGCTGCCTCACAGGACCAGGGACCCATGTTCAATTCCAATCTCAAGTGACTGACCATGTGGAGTTTGCACATTGTTCCCATGTCTGTGTTCGTTTCCTTCAGATGTACTGGTTTCCTCCCACAGTCCAAAGTTATGCAGGTTAGGTGGATTGGCCATGCTAAATTGCCCTGTCGTGTCCAGGGATATATAGTTTGGGTGAGTTAACTGTGGTTTAAAAAAAAAACCACATGCAGGGTTACAGGGATAGGGTGAGGCTGGGTGGGATGCTCTTCGGAGGTCAGTGCAGATTTGATGGGCCAAATGGCTCTTTCTGCACTGTGGGGATTCTATGATCTACAGAACATTTAGTAAATGAAGTTAAACCTCAAAGGTCTTTTTTTATGGGAATAATGGTTGTGTGAGTTTGCATAATTTTCCAATTCTGCAATTTGGAAATAGTTTCTTTCAGCTTGTCAATTTAGTCATTTATTTGTGTATCTGTCCCATGGTATCAATAAGGTATTTTCAGCATTACTGCTTATATATAAAAAAAAAGTTAAATTGTCACAAACTTGAGAAATAAAAGCTACAGGCTCAAACCTGGAATGAAGTGGAACATGCTAGTTTATGTTTAACTACTTTACACAGCAAGGATGAATATATACACTGGGAGATGTAATTTAATCATTTTATGTTAGAGTTAGACACATGTTTAATAAGAATGGATGATGAAAAATAGTAAATTTTAGGATGAGCTGCTGCATCTTCTGGCCATTTATTTTTTTCACAGGCCGTGGTCGTTTTTTTAATTGCATGGAAATATCGCCACTACATTTTTACTTTATTTGGTAACTTCTCATTAGCGTTCACATTCACAGGGATAAGCACAGCCTTGCCACTTAATCTTTATAGTAAGTTTTAGTCATGAATAGATCATTGTCTTCTTGTCTGTTAACCAACTGCACACAGATAATATGAATCCTCATTAATTACAATGTACTTGCCAATTGAATATATAAATCTTCAAAATATAATGCTGCCAATTGCAAATCTGATCATTCTCTACTTTAGAATTTAGTAATCAATGTACTCCTTATTAATTCATAAATCCTCTGGTTGTTCAGGGAGTAATGGACAATGTGTCCCTTGAAACATTGTCTGTGACATATTTTGAACCAGATTAACACACTTGCATGTGACAGATTTTAGTAAAGCAAAATTCCGCATTCCCAAGTAGGAAGGATTCCTGTGTTGACTCTATTTCGCTGAGAGCTGGCTACTCTAAAGTTTAATTCACCAATCAAAATGGTTGCTGTCATGCATCGTACACAGTGACTCAGTGGTTAACACTGCTGCTTCACAGTGCCAGTGACCCAGGTTCGAATCCACCCTTGGGTGACTGCCTGTGTGGAGTTTGCACATCTGGTTTCCTACCACACTCCAAAGATGTGCAGGTTAGGTGGGTTGGTCATGCCTAATTGCCCTGTAGTGTGCAGGCTAGGTGGGAGGATTATGGGAATAGGGTGGGTCTGGGTGGGATGCTTTTCAGAGGGTTGGTGGGCCAAATAGCCTGCTTTCACACTGTAGCGATCCTATGCTCAAGATTCCAAAGACTCGAGGTGAGATGAGACCAATATTGAGGTCATTGTTCTGATCAACCCAAGATACTGTGAAGGCATTACAGCCATATATAAGCTACTACTCAAATAGCTATTTAAAAATGTTTACATGAATTTTGGGATTTTGCTATGTCTAGCAGACTAGACAAAATGTAGCTTTAATTTTAGATACTTACATCTTTTTCTTCCAAACTCAAAAATAACAAAGTTTTTATGTTAAAGAAGATCAGGCTACCCAGCAGTAGCACTCTTTCTTCTACTCTGAAGATGATGATGGATTTGAGTCTTGTTTCATATGCAGTGCTAAGGGAGTGCTGCATTGTCAGGGATCCGACCTTTCAGATGAGAACGTAAATTTAAGATCTTGTTTTACTATACCACTGGATGTAGGAGATTTCATGGCATTATTATTAAAGTATAGAGTTATCCCAGTATCCGAGTTAACATTCCTTTTTCAGCTGACACCACCAAAAACAAATTATCCGTTAATTTATTTATTTGCTTTCCTGCTGTCAGAGTAAGGAAGAAGAGAGTGGAAACTAACTCTTTTGTTCTAACATAGTAGGTTAGGAAGCATATCGACCAAAAATACTTTGGGTTTTTTTTCAATTTTTACATTTTTTTTCGGCACATAGACCTTTGAAGTTGGTGTGTGTTACCCTTTCCTTCTTGCCCTCGAGAAAGATGTGGAGAGATGTCTTCTTGAACTGCTGTAGGACGTGTCAAATAAGTCAGAATTTACGGTGGTCTGGGTATAATAGCCTTTTGTGTGTTTGCATAATACCATGCTTGATATAACAAAAATTGAAAGAATGCTTAATTTTTTTCTTTTTTTTTCATAGATTTCATTTCTTTTGTGCCAGTTATCTCCTTCAGCCTGGAAAGTGTTGAAGGTCATCTGAAAGCAACACTACTCTTGATGGGAAAACGGCCTCATCTGTAAAACCATGAACTGCAAAAAGATATCAAGTATATGTTCACACTTTCACAAACATAGTGTGCAAATTAATTAAAAATATTTATATGCAATCTGCAACACAATACAGTAAACAAAAACTGGCTGGCCTCTTTCCTTTTTCAAAGCTATTTCATCAGTAACATTTTAAACTGAGACACACACAGGCTGGAAACAGAAGACAGTAACTGAAGTAAGTTTTCATTATTACTTAACACCCAATCAGTCCCATTTGAGCTAAAGGTGTTCTGAATTACTTTTGTACATATTAGTACAGTCATCAACTATGTTCTGTCAACATGATAACTGTTGTTATAGACTGTCAAGAAAGATCAGCAGTTGTACATTTGCAACAGGATGAAGAAAATGACAATACAAATAACTTTCCCCAGAACATGGACGAATGCTTAATGAAGCTGAAAGGCATAAATGGAAATATGGAAATCTCTGTTCCTTTCGATGATTGTGGATTAAATGTCAGAAATCCTTGTGTGAACCAAAATTGTATGGAGGAACAAGATCTTTGCAAAGTTCTCGAAAACCAAAGAGACACCACAACTATACTGGGCACAGAAAAAACTTTCAATTCAGAAGCGTTAGATCCCAATGATTCAACTAATGACAGCATAATAGGATTTATGGAGGATCCTATTAGCAACAGGAAACATATCTTAAATGGAGCTGATTTAATGAGGATGAGAAAGGATATGTTGCTTAATGCCTCAACAAGTAAAACATTGTGCACGGCTAAAGATGAAGAAAACAGTGAATTATGGAGTGACTTTGCAGGTTACTGTAAAACATCTCTTGTACAACAGCAGTTTTTTGGTACTCTTCATGAACTGCGTTTGAGGGAAAAAGATGATTCTGTTGAAAAGAGTTTCCAGCATCACAGCTCCAAAATTCCTAATGGCAACTTTGCAAATCATCATTTTCCAACCCATCACCACAACCCTACAAATTACAAACATGATAATGAATTGCAAACCTCTGCTTCTGTTATCAATGCTTGTGCTCCAAAGTGCAGCATGTTAAAACTAAACTCTTCTGTGAATGCTGAGGAAGATTTACTTCGATGCAACAATTCAGACCAACCTGCAGTTTTTGTGGATAACAATTTTGCAGATTCTGCAATAAATTGGACATTTGGAAGTAATGGCCAATTAGTTAATGACACATTTCAGACTCTTAATTGTGATGAAACTGAATTTTCAGGCCTTGGATCACCTGGAGAATTGTGCCCTGTTAACCCTCCATTTTCAGAAAACCAGGCAATCCTCTCTGCAAGTTCAGCTCTGAAGGTTAGTGGCCGAAGTTCTTTAGTAGGTAAATGTTTTGATTAGTAGCAGCAAAAACGGTAAGTGGAGAAATGACTCTACTTTAACTGTTCATTTAACTTACTCACTTATAATATCTACCCCCAAAAATCTCTCAACCGGTGCTGATATCACTCGCACTTGCCATTTTTAGTAAAGATCAAAGAAAAATCTTCAAAAGCAAACCAGTCAATAAGGGTCTCAAATAATTTTAAAGCTGGTATTGCAAGAGATGCTGATAGTGACATTCCTGCTTGTGTTTTTATAATGTGCTGAACAAAACAATATAATGGAATGAGTTGCAAGGCTGTAGTCTCCAGATAAACTAGAAAAAGCAAGTAGAATTACAAATTTGTATCTTTTAAATGACTATTTTCACAGTTGAAATCTTGTTTTTCTGATGAATTGGCTGTAATGTTGCCAAAAGATATGCCCTGCTGTGGGAGAATAAATAGATTAATTCTTTATTATCTACGGCGTTTTTGAGAGAAGTGCTATATAGGAGTTTAGCACTTTCTGAGCCCACCAACTAACCATGATATAACTGGTTCGCAGAAAGAAATGTTGAAATGAGTAGTAGAGAATTACATCAGAAATACTGAATTACTCAACAGGTCAGGCTGCATCTTTTGAGAATACGAGTTGACAGTTAGTGTTGAACCCTTTTTCAAAATCATGAAAATAGCTAAAGGGAAAGTAAGATTAGAAAACATGGAAGAGTAACACAGAGGAGATTTGAATGTATGGTAAAAGTTGAAATTTGGACGAGATCAAAGATGCAAATTACCAGTGTAATGTTCAAAAGTTGGACAGAATTCCTGTATGGAGCACCAACTTATACCTCTCCTATTCTTCTTTCTCCTGTGTGGGGTTCCTACTGTTTCTAATTTATACAAACCAGGTCAGGATATGAGCTCAAAGTTTTGAACAAGTTGTTTAATGATAGATGAGTGACCAAGAGAGCTTTGTCATTTTTTTGAACTATTTCAAAGCCATGGTTAAGGAATTTTGCAACAGAATGGCAATATTTAGATTTTAATTGGGATTAGAAACAGTTTGGGGTCCAGTATAGCACCAAAGTTACATCCAGTCTGATTTAACCTGTGATATCGGGGACAGGGATATGTCAGGATATGGAGTTCATGACAGAGTCCAATTCAATTGTTTCATTTTGGGAAATGGAGCTGAACGTGACCCCCCTTGAACCAAGCTCTATTCTTTGGAAGATGTTAGAAATGAGCAATGGGATAGATTAGCAAGAGGAGAGTCAAGGACTGATCTATAGGAATTACGGAAGTAATAATCTGGTGGCAGTAATTGATGCTACTGCTGGAAATGCTTTGGTTTTGATTGAAAAGGGAAGGGCAGAACCAAGCCAAGGACAGTCCCACCAAACTAGGAAATGGAGGAAAGACAACAGGGTTGAATGGTCAACCATGTTAAAGCAGGAAGGTTAAGGAGGAGAATCTCAGAATTGTTTGGGTGCAGAAGGAGATCATTCAGCCCGTCATGCCTCCTAGTTCAATTGCCTAGTGTCAATCTCCTTCAAGTGTAACATTGTGGGTATCTTAGGCTGCCTGTGAATTTTCTCTGAGGACAGTGTTTGACCCTATGCTGAAGGTTGTGTTCCACCACTCCCCAGACCCATGATCTCAATGCGTTAATCTTCCACATGAGAACATGTAGCTTGATCATCGTCACCGAGGACATCATTGATCTTGATTCAGGCCATTACAGTACTGTTACCTATCAAAGTTATGAGGAAGGGAAATTGGTGATGGGGTAATTATTTGGAAGGAAAGATCAATCTAAGGTGAGTTGTTTTGATAGGAGAATAATCACAACAGTTCTGAAACGTTTTTGGCCACTAGTTGAATGGAGGTATCCACTTATAATGTAAAATAGCATGAGGGAACCAGGAAGGGAAGGTGGTTGGTCAACAGTTTAGTGGGAGTCAAAACAAGAAAATGGGGGCGGGGGTGGCATTGTGGATAATTGCGGGTTTGGGATCAAAGAAGGAGCTATATAAGAGATCTGTGACTTGTTGGGCAAGGGGAGAGGCAATTAAATAGTTTCAATCTTAATGACTGAGTAATTGTCCAATTGAGGAAGCAGGATTTAAGGAGAGAGAGTATTGGAGAAAATAAGCAATTTTACTTTCCAAACTGATTTTGGAGTGGCAAACAGTTTTGACAAAGTGAGTTCTGATTGTGCTGTGCCAAGCCACATCTGCCAGTAAATCGATAAACCAATTGTAAACCAAACGTGCTCAACTCTGCTTCATGAAGAAATGAAGTTGTACCAGGTCTAGTAGCTAGGAGGAGAGAGAGATTACAAGGAATGAGTGTATCAAAGATGCAAGTGAGGATGCGGTTGAGCAGATTAATTGCTGCAGGAATATTGTGATAAATGAAAGAGACAAAGGCTAAAATGTCATATGGTTTCATGGTCAGCATTAGATTCCTAATTACAGATTTTTTTTTTTCTTTTAAATTCACATTTCACCATCTGCCATCTCAAGCCTGGGTTCCCAGAACATTACCTGGGTCTCTGGATTAATAGTCTAGTGTTTAATACCATCTGAATTTAAAAACCAGAAAATGCTGGAAAAGCTCAGCAGGTATGGCAGCATCTGCAGAGAGAGAAACAGAGTTAACATTTTGTGTCCAATATGATGACTCTAGCAGTTCCTAAAAAGAGTTGAACTGGACTCCACTTCAATTCTCTCCACAGATATTGCCAGATCTGTTGAGTTTCCTTGGCATTTATTTTTTATTGTAGCTATAAACTGAGTTCAAACCTCATGTATTCCAGCAATAGAATAAAGATGTCACTGAAAATCAAGCTACATAAATAAGGTTGACCTTCTGCACTGGGAAAACTATCATTCTTCCAGAGACATTTCCTGATAATTATACAGAAGGAAATGCTTCTGATGTGGTTAACAGCAGTGCCTCCACAAATTAAAGAAAAATCTGTTAAAAGTCTTCTAATCTTCATAAGTTGTTGGAACAGAGCAACTTCTCCTTTGTAAATCTGTCAGCATTTGTATTAAGGAAGCATGCTCTTTGCTAAAGTTCAGTTGGAATTGGCTACTGATGATGGAAGATATTTTTGGCTGCATTGCTAAGTTCTTGGGTTAAAGATTGGAGGTAGTAAAGACCAGTTTTAATTTGGCCTGGAACCCAACAATAATGTGACCACTACAAAAGTAAATAGCAATTTGTAGTAGAATGTGTAAAAGTATAGGAATTTGAAAAGTATTTACATGATTAAGGAGATTTTTGTTTAAAAACACTACTTCTCTTTTATCCATTAAAACCACAGAAGTGTATGTCTGTGTGTCTGTGTTTGGGGTGTGGAGATCATGTGTGTACATGAGTGTATATACATAAGAGCAGAGCCACAGTTTGGGCAGCATGGTGGCTCAGTGGCTAGCACTGCCTCCTCACAGCACCAGGCACCTGGGTTCGATTTCAGCCTCGAGCAACTATCTGTGTGGAGTTTGCACATTCTCCCCATATCTGCATGGGTTTCCTTTCGGTCCTCTGGTTTCCTCCCACAGTCCATAGATGCACAGGTTATGTGGATTGGCCATCTGAAATTGCCCATTGTGTCCAGGGATATGCAAACTAGGTGGATTAGCCATGGGAAATGCAGGGTTATAGTGATAGGGTGTGGGGTGGGTCTGGATAGAATGCTCTTCAGAGGTTCAAAGCAGACTCGATGGGCCAAATGGCCTGTAGAGCTTCTATGCATTCTACTCATTAATTATTCAACGTCATTAATGCTTCAAAATCTAATGTCCAAATGATCAGTGATTTACACAAGGTAAAAGCCTTCATTTTGTTTGTCACATTTGACCTTTAAGGCAAGATATTTTGTCATTGAAGGCCACACCTGTAAGCAGATCTCATATTCCCTGTAATTGGGAACATGCCTATACCTGCCTAGTATCTAGGTCATTGATTGGAGTATTCAAAAAGCATAATACTGAATGCTTGTCATTACCAGCTATTGGATTCACCTCTTTACAACATCTGAGCTGAATATACAGTGTCACCAGGACAGGACTCAAGCTGTGACCAAAGACAGTTTTCTGCACTTAAAGCCGCACCAATTATTTACTCCCATCCCCAGAATAATCTCTATGACAAGCTATCTATTTGCATTGTAGAACAGGCTGCCACTTAGTGTCGGATTGGTTGAAACCAGTTTACAAAGTAATTTTCTTTCTTTCTTTGACGTTCCCTTGTTGAGAAAGAAAAACCTGCCTAGATCAATTTTGTTGTGAACTACTTTTTGATTTTTGGGTCTGTCTTATGTCACTAACTATGTGCACATGCGCACACACCCACGTACACTTACACATGTTCTGCGCATTTCATTGTGAGCTACTGATGCCTCTTGTGTTGTTTTCCTCTTCTGCTTTTTTTTAAATTATTTCAGGATTTTGGCTTTACTGGCTGGGCTAACTTTTTCCTCATCACTAATTGTCCTTTGAAGATCATGGTGAGTTGCCTTCTTTTAACCTCTGCGGTCCATTTGCTGTAATCACACTTACAGTGCTGCAGACTGGGGAGTTTCAGGATTTTGACCAAATGACAGTGAAGGAATGGGATCTAGTTCCAAGTTGGGACAATAAGTGGCTTGGAGTGTAACTTGCCAGGGCCTTGTAGGTTACAGGAGATTAGCATTAACTGTAAAGGTAAAGTCACCATAGTCTTACCAGACCATAGTCCCTGGACACTTTGCGATGCAGAGTGATGCCAACAGCATGAGTTCAATTGCACACTGGTTGAGGTTACTATGAAGGACTCTCCTCCACCTCTCCTCTCACCTAATGCATGGTGACCCTCGGGTTAAACCACTACCAGTCATGTCTGTTGAATGAGAGAGCAGTTCTATGGTCCAGTGTCACTATGGCAACTTTGCTTTTAGTAAGGTAAACTCATTAATTATTGTCATCAAGCGTCAGAGCACTGCTTCTCCTATTATCATGAGAGTGATGAGATAGAACACATTCTGTTATGTTCTGTTTTTCCAGGATTGTCAGGGAAATACCTAATTTGTAAATAAATTTAGAATTTTGGGTATTCTGTCCTGCTGGCTGCAATTATTTTAGACCCACCCTTGCTATCAGTTTCATTCAACCTGTATTCGCCATTTGATATACCTCTTTTGAAATAAAAACGTCAGCGCTGACAACAATCATACCCCTGCAATGTAACATTTATAGATCTGTACTTTGCTGGGAATCCCGAGAAAATTGAGAGTATTTGGGAAGAATGCATTCTCTGTTTACTCACATCGTCATTGGAGGGCTAGCACTTTGGTTTCTGATGTTAAATTTGTCTTCTGCAGCCTATGAGGCTCAAGCAAGAAACCAGAGAAGGGAAGAGAGTGAGCCATCAGATCTCAATGAAACAAACACATGCAATAACAAACAGCCCAGACTTGGAGAGGGAGTGGGGGGAGGGGGGGAAGGGCAATTTAATATTAAAGTGCAGATGCTGTTTAACTTTACAGCTGCCTGATTTGAGAGAGCAAACAATCCAGTGAGACTATAATACTTTGAACTGGATACAAAACACAAGGTGCAGCCAACACACGAGTTTGAAACTGCCACTGTCTGTCTCCTCTCCACCTATCTTCTCCTCTATCCATCTTCTATCCACCTCCCCCTCTCTCCCTATTTATTTCAGAACCCCCCTCCCCTCCCCCATTTCTGAAGAAGGGTCTAGGCCCGAAACATCAGCCTTCCTGCTCCTCTGATGCTGCTTGGCCTGCTGTGTTCATCCAGCTGTACACCTTATCTCAGATTCCCTAGCATCCGCAGTTCCTACTATCTCTGAAATATTCCATAAGCCACTTTTACTACCTTTTTATCTACTATCTGCTGCCCGCAGGGATTTTGTGGGCATGCACTGTAATGTCTCCACTTCCTTTATCCCCTTAATACACTCCCATTTACTTTCTAGCCCTTTGCTTGCTTCCCAAATATATAACATCTCACTTCTCCTGATTAAATTCAATTTGCCACTTTTCTGCCCACTCAACCAAACCGTTAATGATACCTTGCATTCAACAGCCACCCTCTTCACTACCAATTACACAGCATGTTGTACTGTTATGGTATCACAAATGGCGAGTCTGAGACTTATGCATCCAACTAAAAACAAAATAATTCTGGCAACTGATGTACGAGTTAAAGCCCCGAGGTTACTCTGCATGCATGGGGATGATCTTTCTTTGACATTATTTCTCCATAAAGTAATCTACTGCAAATATTTGCCCTACCTTTGATTTTTCACGGCCTGTTTGTGAAGTTTTGAAGGCAAATTTTCCTGCAGCTCTGCTTTACAAACAACCTTTTTCTCCTGAAATTATACCAGTAAACGTGATCTAAAACCTTGGGGATACATAGCCATCCATCAATATTGAAAGCTTTAGGTAATAAGTTTGCTCTTGAATGTGAGGGATGTAACTTAACAATGCCAAAGACTTCCTATCCAAATTGTATGACTGATTTAGCAATTAAACCATTTGGTGAAGGGTTGGTGGGAGAGATAGACAATGAAACTTGGAGGTAAAATTATTATGTAGGAATTGAGGATCATTTAATGTGGATAAGCAAAGTGGAGGATAATGAGTAGATCAAATAAGACTGGCAATAGAGGAGATGAAGAAATCCTGAGAGACGTGGATGAAGTTAAAGTTAACGAGAAGTACGTACAGATGTGAAACCAGACAAACCCACAATGAAAAGTAAAAATGTGAATGCTGGAAGCAACACAAAATGCCAGAACTGGAGGCTGTTGTGGTGAAAAGGAATGGCAATGGATTGTAAGCATCACTTCTAGAAAGTGGAAATGAATTTAATATTCAACATAATTTTTAAATTCATTTTCTGGACTAAGCGTCATGAGTAAAGCAAGCAGAGATAGTAAGAACTGCCAATGCTGGAGTCAGAGATAATAGTGTGGAGCTGGAGGAACGAAGCAGGAAAGTTGACGTTTCCGGTCGGGACCCTTCTTCAGAAATGGGGAGGGGGAAGGGAGCTGGGAAATACATAGACAGGAGGGGTGGGGCTGGGGAAGGTAGGTGGGATGCTGTTAGGTGAGTGCAGGTAGGCAGTGGTGGG